CAAAATGTACACTATCAGGCAGCGTAATTTCTCCTTAAAGTTTCAATTTAAACGTGGATGCTTAGCTTTACCCATTACCTTATAATGGAAAAGCACCTTTTTGCCTTCCTCAGTTGTATTGTTTGCTATTTTGTGCCATTTTTCTCCCTTTTTTGTTCTTTGAAGGTGTATTCCTTCTTCTATAATGGAAATTCATATCATCTACAGATTTATGCTTTGAGGTTTCCTCCAGCTGCAAAATGATTAAAATTGTGTGCTGCCTCAAATTGTTTAAAAACATTGTCAAACCTTTTCAAAGCACTAGTTTGCCAAGAGTGGCAACTTCTCCAATTTATCAGTTGCTATATCTTTATAAGTTAAAGATCATGCCACCTGGAAGCAAATGTGAACCACTAAAGCCCACATACGAAATTTCTGAATGCTATTTAAAAATAGCATTGGAATTGTATATAGTTCAGAAAAATGGCATTCAGAATCACACATTAGTGACCAGTGTCTTTCATCTTATGTATATATCATTTATTATTTCATGTATAATGTAAGAGTTGATAAAACCATACAATTTTCTGGTTGCATTTGCCCCTGATCTTGTTCTCTCTGAGTTTTGGTTGGCTTTAAATTATTTTGTGATAGTCATGTTTCTCTAGTGCAATGCCTGGACCAAAGTCTGCCTTCCTCTACAATCTTCTCAGTTTTGCTGCAGAAAAAGAGGGCAGAATTTAGTAATGTATGTTGCAAAACCTGAAGCCTGCTAAACTGCTGCCTGTATGAAGATACTTACTCTAACACAGGCTTGTGTTTATGAAAAACAACAAAATTTATGAGATTTCCAAATCAACAGTATTAGGCAATTACCAGCAGAGCTTTATTTCTTCCTTACATTTCTTCACTTTTACAATTTGTAGTGGTGTTTTTCATAAGCATTTTTAGAGGTTTTGACGAGGCTTATTACTTCATAGTGGTTTTCTCGTTGTATTTTTGTAGAAAAAAAGAAGTAGGAAAGTAAGTATTTCTGGTGACTTCTTGTTGGTGTCATTAGATTCCTCACCTCCACTTCCTGAGCCAGAAGACGTCTTTTTCTTTAATTGCAAGCACTTGAATAAATGGGCACTGACAAGTGCAGAGTACTAAATGCTAGAAAAAAAAGTCCTTTGGGTTGCGCTGGCAGAGCAGTGAAAGGGCAGTATCAGAAAGGAGGCTTGTTCACCTCCAGATTGAGTGTTTCAGTGATTCAGACTCAGTTAAAATGCCACCATCCAAGTCCATGAGTGGTGGTGTATGAAAGAGAATTAAAAGATGACAAATGAGGAACACAGAACACAGTGAGTTCCTGGTGAGGATATTATTACCTCTCTGAGCATGAGTGGACAATAGATATTCAACATATGGGCACTTGGCATGCGTGAAAATGCCACAATCTTTCTATTTACAGGGTACGATTCTGTTGATCCCTGCAATGTGAGGTTTAAAGCCAAATGATGGAGTTTTTCTGGTGGTAAAATCACTGGAAAAGACTCATAACTGAGATATAGCAGTGTACGGAATTTAAAACGAATTTGATACACCTAACTCCATAATAGAGACTAATTGTCTTCTTCTTAAATCATGTAACTTAGGCACACATATTGTCTTCATGATTTTTGAAGGCCCATCACACAGGGGATTGATGTGATTGCCATGGTGGCTAATACGGTCAGTAATCGCTCTGGAGGAGCTTTCAAGGCTGCTAGAGGTACTTGACATATCACAGACAAAGTAACAAAGGAGGTTTAAGAAGAGTCACTGTGAAAATAGATAGGATCTTCTCCTCAGTCATCTCTTCAGTCTCCTTCCTTATAGTGTAAATATTTTCTCGGCATTTTATCATAATTGTTGTGAGATCTTTGTATGACTTTTATTTGGCTGAAGATTGAAGAGGTTTTAGTTTTCTTCCACCACTTTGCCATGTCCAAAAAGTCAGTGTTCCTGAGCCTATCCGGTTACATACTGGCAGGAAAGAGAGGAGACTGAGATGAAAGGTTCAGTTCAATTGCCGGCACTTGGGTGTTGGCTGCTATCTGAGATGCCCGCAGTTTCCACAAAACCTGCATGGCTTGACAGACGTGACACAGAGCCTATAGGAAACCTGTCCTTTTCTCGACTGTCAGCTGGAAATCAAGTGGGCTGTCTCTATGGCATGTCATGTAAGTTTGGACCCTCTGGGTGATAACCTGAATCAAGTTTATAGTTTTTAAAGAGAGAGTTTTTAAAGAGAGTTATAGAGTTTAAAGAGAGAGTTACTGTTATTTGTAACAGTAAAATATTATTTGTAACAGTAAAAGAACCCAAGAAAATCCTTTAAGGCTTGCTTTCTTTTAAATCAATACACTGAGTCATGTAAGGGCTGCCTAATGATTTTTGAATGTATGTAACACTGAAAGGTGTTTTATACTGTAGTGAAAAAAAAAGTTGGAGGTAGCCTCACTGACAGAAACACGTCTTGATTGGATAACCTGTTATGCAGCTAGTAACTAATGAAGACAAAATATTCTTGTTATCACTTCTTTGTCTAGTACACTAGGTTTTGGCACAAGTAAACAGCTCATCTTACAAACTACATTATATGTAGCAAATAAGCCTTAGGTAAAATGTTCATAAAATATTTTCCTGATATGGTAAGCACAAGCAGTAGATATGCAAAGCAAGGTTCCACAAGCTAATGTTTAATGTGTTGACCTCTGAGAGAGAAAAATGTTTTGTTTTACTGTCAGTTCACAGAGAGACTGCAAGTTAAAAAAGAAAACTACTTAAAGCTACTGTTTAGTAAAGATACCAGAGTGTTGTGATTTCTGATTGACCTTATTTTACTTTTCCAAACAGGGCAAATGGTAGATATATAGTTTATGCTAAACTAGTTTATGGGCAGCTTTATAATTCTTGTTATTTTATTATTTGCTTAATAAAGACAGAGTTCAGAGTTTTCTGAAACTTGGAGAAATACCTTGCTCAACGGATCTTTCTGTTCTAAGTAGATAAGTGGTAGAAGAATTATTTCTCAGTAATTAAACTGGACAAAATACTAACTATAATGGAAACAAATACATTGTTAATATGTGTGTGTGTTTGTATATCTTTAAAGACTGCCTACATGAGAGTATTTTCATGAATAGCGATAAATAAAGTGAATCTTTAAAAAGCAGGCATAGGCAATAGATTAAGATGGAGTCTTGTTGGCTGCTTGATACTTACATTGATATGAGAATTATATTACACAGTTTATATAAACGTGCAGGTTTTTGTTTTCCGTGTACATTGGCAGAGCTAGGCAGGAAATTTTTGCAGTGTGAAACAAGTCGCTCTCCTATTACTGCTTTGTCATCTACTTGGGTAGCCCTTAGGCTTTGCTGAAACACAAACTTTTAATGTCATGTGGGAATTCTTACAATCCAAATCATTAATTTGACCAAGCTGTATCATTCCAGTCTCATGACGCAAAGTTGAAATGAATGTGTCTTAACAAATCACCTAAAGCATGTTTGAATCTGTGTTGCAAGGCCAAAGCCAAAGAGCAAGAAAATATGATTAAATAAGCAAAATTGTATTGTACAGTTGTACAAAATTGTATTGTACAAAATGATTGAACTGGACTTCAAATTGTTAAACGCTGATGCACAGATGTGGTCTCATCCAGGTGGACACATGCTAGTGAAAATTATTCTCTTGTTTATCTTCATTCTTGTCAGGACTTTTACCAAATACAGTAACTAAAGATCAAAGATACAAGACTACTTAAGTCCCTGAGGAAACCCACCTAATAAATCCAGGCGTGTAACTGACTAAGCAGAAAGCCTCAGCTATTCAACATATTTACACAAGGGACTTTCAAAAATCCTATTAGGCATTTGTCTGCATGGTTTTGGCACCATTTTGAATATGACTCCTAATAGTTTTGGAAGTGGAAACTCCATCAATTTTGTCCACGTTAATGATTTGGTTCTCTGTTTCTGTAATAGTTCAGGCAATGTCTGCTACTTGGAAAATTCATGGCCAGTTAGTCTGACTTCTTTGTTACCTAAACTTCTGCATCACTCACTGGTTCTATTTCTGACAGATTTGGAGTATGTCTTCCCTTCAGCTTTTGATTTCTATTTCACATCTTTAGCCACCTTGGTGTTTTTTATATTCCTGTAGGCAGATTCTCATAAAAAAATCTCATAAAAATCACTTCAGCAGTATCTGTTACAAAGCCTTAAAAAGTATTTTGTATTTATGTAAGTGCTTTCCGTAAAGATGCATGCTACGCATGTTTTTTAATTAAAAGAAAAGGGAAGTTTTAACAAAAAGCTAGTCACAATATGCTGTTTTATTTCAAAGCTGGATCATACCAGAGGTACTGTGGGCATTCTTTACTGTTTGTGGGATTAGTGAACCTTTCAGATAGATTCAAAATGCCATTAAGCTCCCCCCAAGTATTTCAGCTTCATACGTCATTTGTATCCATAAATTGTAGAGTCTGGTCACAAATTGTTTGTATTCTTTGGGTGGAATACTGAGAAAATTAATGAAGTCCTGCTTGCTCCAATATTTCATTAAGCTAAAGTCTAAGGAAAAGGAAATAGCAGCAGCAGAGTAGGCAGCTATGAATAAAACAGTTCATATTCAGTGTCTACTATCTATTTGCAATGGCATGTTGTAAAAAATGCATCCCTAGGGTTTATAGTAGCATAGGTCTAAACCCATTTTTTAATTATCTGTATAAATCATAAGGCTTTTAAGAGTTAAAAAGACACATCTTATATAATATAAAAGGCCTAATGTCTCCAGAAAGCTTTGCTTAGCCATATTCTGAACATGAAAGTCTGAATACAAATATCCTTTATTCCTTCGTCTCTCTGCTTTTCAGCTAGTATATATTATTAACATTGTGGACCTGGTCATTTCCCTAGTATTATAAACCATTAGTTATAGTGATATAATGTTTCATTAAAATCTTACTAAACTTGGTCTTTATTACAGGCAGTTTACACCGTGCTTCCAGTGTTCCAGAACATGTTTATAACATGGGGATTACTGAAAATGATTTTGTACCAAGAACTCCATATGGTTTTTCATATTATCAATCAAACCAGGTGAGGGAAAAAAAGGCAATGAATAAAAATAAATATAATATCATGTGTATAGTTTACTCAGTTTGTTAAATTGTGTTCCAAAGATTGCTTGCTTGCTTGCTTGTTTGCTGTTTAAAGGTTTTAACTACAGGGATACCTGTCAACATTTTTCAGATCTTTATCCATCCCAACAGGCTGCAGGTCAACCTGTTCAACTACATATGTAGCTCAAAGTGGCCACAGGCTGGGCTGTCACTTACCCAGCCGAAGGCTTGCTTGAGGGAGCTCAGAGATCCTGTGAGGTGAAGAATGACAGCATGTTGGTTGTAGCTGGAAATATGATGAAAGAGTTTAGGGAACTAAGCATCCAAAGCTATAGAAATACAAATTCCGTTCACTTCCCCATGACTGTTAGAGGGTTCCTTATTGTTTTAAATAATCCTGTTGTAACCTGTTTAAGCATTACATGAATTTTAGTGCTAGAGTCTTTGTAATATAATAGTGTTTCTAAACTGTTTCAGGTTGCAACTCCACTTCTTATGGCGACCACACTTTTCTTGGGTTCATGACCTAGCTACTAAGACAGATAATTGATTTTCTGTTGATTTTCTACAACATGACTCTAGTTGTAGCTGGTATGAACCCAGTTGCAGCAGCAGTCACATCACTTGAAAATCGACACATAGCTCAATGGCAGTGCTGCTGCATGATGAACATAAGTAAGCTGAAGGCAAATCAATCTGGAAATGGGAATATTTATGTGGAGTCCATCAGTACAATAGCTGTATATGGAAGGTCCTGTTCTCTCTCAGCTCAACGTCAAGAATGTTTCTGTGCTTATTCTCATTAAAGGAAATAGCCCAGCTGCTGACCAGTTAATTAAGCATCATCTCTGACTCTGTATGGCTAGAAGTAGAACCACTTACTTAACTACATTTTCTATAGCCTATACTCCTTTTTTGAGCACATCATCACCATCAGTAGCCTTCCATAGTTAAAGTAAGGGTTTTCAGTCTAGCACACAGATTTGATTTTATCCAAGTGTAATTGATTTATGCATGTGTATCATGTTAACTGTAGAAGATCCTTGCACTCTGTCTGCTAATGTTTATGTTTAGGCAAATACATGACATGTAGCAGAATCCCTTTCCATGTACAATTCTGGTGATGTTCACATTTGATTTTCCTATTCTGTTAGTGGGCCACACAGTTTTTGTCTTTACTTTTTGGTTTGGTTTCTTTGCTGTTAGTCTTAAATGCTGTGATCTTGCCATGACTCCTGTTCTTTTATGCATCCTTGAACAGGTGGCTTCACCAACTGCTTATACAAATGGCTGGGGGACTAGAACAACTTACAGGTCAATGGAAGAGAGATCTCAAAGGCAACCTCTGAAGAGATTAGAGATTTCTCCCCAACGAGGCCCTGAGAGATTGGTATATGTGTCCAACGATTTTCACTATGACAGAGGAATTCCAGCCGAATTTTCTATGAGACATGGAGACAGCAGAAGATCCAACATGACTGTCCCACCAAGATATGCTCGATCTGAGATTATTGGTTATACTTTTCAGGATTCGGTGAACAGGGGACGCTCTCTGAAAAGGCAGTCCCACATGGGAACCATTAATGGCACAGTCTTTGATGGTGTCCATTCGAGCCCCACTGTACCTCTGTACCGGCAAGGAGGCAACAGCCGCAGTATGACCAATCTTTTGGAGAAAGAGAACAACCAGTCCCCAGCCAATGCAACAGGACAAGTCAGATCACCAGTTACGTCCTATTTTGGGTCTCAGAACAGGCAATCTTTGAGGTCCAGCTGGCACCAAACTACTTTCAGAAGCACACAGAACAGGAGGGAAGCTTCTCACCCAGCTTCAGTAACCAGTGTTACTGCAGAAACAGATGGGAAGCGATTGCCATTGACAGCTGCCTTGGCAGCAGCCAGCAGAAATGGTCTCCTGCCGAGTGAGCAAGTCACCATCAGTGGATCTCAGCTAGGGTAAGCATAATGAAGAATCTGTTCTGGTTCAAACTTAACTGGGGACTTCAGTGTTGAAATGGGTCCATTTGTTTAAAAACAAAAGGAAGACTGCCAGCTACTGGTTGACTAGCCAGCACAGTGCATAAAATGTTAGTGCAGAGGACACAAAAAGTAGATTTGCTTTTAAAAATTCACTTCCAATGCAACAGAGGAAAGAGCGGAAAAATAAATGTATGCATAAGTACTGCAGGGTCCACAGCTCTTGTTCAACCCTAGGACTCTGTTGCCAAAACTTAATCAAATTTATAATGGAACATGTAATAGATCCTGAGCAATATATAACTTAAATCATTACAACCTAAACACTAATGTATTGGCAGAATTTGTCCTCATAAGAAACCAGATGTTTTCAACACTGATTCTCACTAGAATCTGTCAGAAATCTGCCAGTGAAACAGTGTTTGGCAGATTTGGCAGTTTTAGAGTTTCTCGTTAAAAGTCCTTCATCATTTCAAGGGAACTTTTAGGTTTTGATAGACTACAGTTAAAATGCACCATTCCTATATTGAGCACAGATTGCTCTAAATTTCAGGACCCTAACGCTTCTCACCGCCATGAGAATCTACAAACCCTGAGGATAATCTTAAGCTGAGACTGTCTTAGCTCTATGGCAGGAATTTCCAGAGCTCCCCACAGGCTCCAGGAAAATTATTTAAAATGTTAGAAGTGTTCAGATTAAAAAAAAAAAATTCTCCTGAATTTTCTTTTCACAGAACATTTCAGAATTTCTATCACTTGATCCATTTTCAAAAAAAGCAAATTTATCCTTTGATGGTGAATCCTCTAAGAAGTGAATGCTTTTTTCATTTAAGAAAAATCTGAATGTTTTGAGAGCTCTAAATTCTAAGTTTCAAGGGGCAGAACAAACCATTGTGTAAACAGAAGATCATTGCTTACACTGCTTACTGCAGTTTATGTTGTTATTTCATAATCCAAAGAGGATCGCAGGGTTTGTTATGTACATCACTTGGGGTGTTATTACTAACAATATTATTAAGAAATATCCTTTTATTTTCCATGGTTGCATATGTTCACTTTTCCAAAGGCAGCCTTTCTTCTCTAAGTGTGCTACTATATTGGGTTAGACATCAGGTGATACTGCTGTGTACAAATGCGACATTGCCTATCTTAAACTAGATATTGTTCGTTACGATTAATTTTACAGTCACGCCAAATATATAATCTTGTGCCCACATCTAATCTGGACCAGAACTTTTACTGCTTGGTGATCCAGGAGTTTAGAGATCTGGTATTAATAATATAGCCCCAAGCGCTCAGTCTTCACAGCAAGCAAGTTCAAAAAAGACAACTGGGAGCTGACAACAGCTAAAGATTTGGCAATACTTATATTGAAACATTGGAGGACTTTGTTTCTCAAGAAGCTTACGAACAGACATACAACACATTTGACTCAATCACTTATTTAACTTGAAGTACATTCTTGAGAGCATTTAAGCCACAACCAGCTTTAATTTTGTATAGAGGCAATTTTGGTTCTTGTTCTGCAGGTGTAGACACTGTCTCACTGCAGAGGTGTCAACCAAAGCACTTTTCATACCTGCACTGTATAAATAAACATCCATCTTCTGTCATTGTGCGTGTGGCTTTCTTGAGACCATTTTAAATTCCAAGTGGAAGATTTGTGACCCAGTGGAAACCTTTTGAACAGTGTAGTTCCTTAAATTCCAATTTTTTAGTTCAGCTTTTGCTGAAAACTACAGAAGAAAACAATGGGAGGCAAATGTTGCAGGTTTCATTTATCTCAGCATTTTCAAATATCCATTTTGTAGTATTTTCAAATACTTAGCTCATAGTATGAAAACAGCATAGACACTATGCTATTTTTGCATCTGCTGGTAGAAATAAATGGTTAAAAGCAACCTCATATCAAAGGCTTAGGAAAGCGAGTTCCTAGCCTGAAGCTGGGAGACGACTGCTCACATAATCAGACTTGTGAGCTGTGACAAAATGATCAGGCAGCACGACGTATCTCAAAAGTTATCTACTCTGCTAATTAAAATGAAGTTACTATTTGCCAGACTATTGTTTGGTTTGACAGACATTGTTTGAAAGTCCATTTGGTTGTTGTCATTATACTTGTTGATTAAATGTGTGCCTATTAGTTTGCCTTTACATTTTTTTGAGGGTAGGAGGGAATCTTTGCATAGAATTCTCTTTTAATGAAAGTTAGGGTGCTCTGCCTTTTGCGAGTGCCATTGAGGGCCAAAGGATATATTGCATCTTTTAAATCGTACTTATTATTATTGTTCACTTTAGAGAATATAAATGTTATTCTTACCCAATGAAGAGCAATCCTAGTACGAGAGTGCACAAGAGAGAGATTTTGGCTACCACACATAGAAGAGTATCAGCCATGAAGGGACAATTTTGGTGAATCATGGGCTACTCTCCATCTCTGTGTAGATCTACACATACAAGCACTTAGGAATTTGCTCTCTGGCCATACATCCGTTTATCTCAAGCTAACGGCCAGTGATTGCTGATACACCTTTACGGCTGTAGGTCATCCCTGCCATCCTGAGGCTGAGTTCCCACACAGATTTTCTCCGATGTGCTTTGAGGGATCACGAAGCAGTGCTCATGCACTTAGAAGGCCTTAGAAGGTATGCAGATAAAGCCTCCTTCCCTAGTGATTGAAGAGGATGTATTACTATTTAATACATCCGAGATCTGTGTCTCTCCATAAAAGATGACTGAGACTGGTGCAAGGCTTCCAAAGTTACTGCAGTGACTAACAGGCAGGCAGACACGGGCACATAAAGAACAGAGTCACAAAACACTTGTTCATTTAGCGAATCTAGCTAAAAGAATAAGCTCAAAAAGCTTGTTCTCCTGTTCCACTTAAAAGAATAAGAAAGATAATCTGTCTTGTTTCCATTACTTTCCGATCTTTAAGTAGGTTCCTGATCAGTATATCAGAACTGCAACATGGAGTAACTTAGTAACTGCTTTGTTTTGGGTCGGGGCTGAACTAAGTCCTGAAAATCTGAAAGTTGCAAGCATTGCCAACACAGAGCTCAGGGTAGTAGAAATACTAACAATTGTTGTATTCAATTTCACTTTGATTTAACCTCTCCATTGACATCGTCAACACATTGCCCCTTTCATTTCATCTCTCATCTTTGTCTTGCACAAGCCTGCCTCGCCTCCTGTATACCAGCATATTTGCTCAGAACACTATCTTAGAAAACAGAAAATAACCTGATTTATAACAAATGGAAATATAAAGGCGTGTGAAAACCTGAGGATGTATTTTAATTTGCAACCTGGGAAGAGAGACTGCTATTTTTTAAAGTCCTTGTAGCCATAGTAGTTATCTTTTGCCTTGTGAACAAACTCTGATAATAACGAATGTTGATTGAGAGTGAAAGCTGGTAAGGAAAATTCTAGCAAAATCCTTTTCTGCCTCTGACCTTGCAAGTTTATCACAAATATTTGAGGGAAAGCAGTTTGATTTCAGAGTGTTGGTAGAAAGTCTATCTATGAGAAATCTGCCTGATTTTCTCCTAGTTTGTCTACCTTGCTCAACCACAGCTCTGGCAAACCTGAAGTTCTAGGTTCATTAGCTCCTGGCAGTCCATTATTGGGATAGTCTCAGAGCCGAATAACCTAGTAACTCCTGGTGCAGTCCACAAGCACATGCTTTAGTTCAACATACTCTTGAATCAGTATTGAAACATTTCATATTTCATTTTTCTGAGCATTTTTTTCTTAATCTTCATCTTAGTTTAAAAAAAAAAAGCTCAGAATTTGAACTTAAACAAATTTTTACTTAAGAATCCGCTTTTCCATAGGAGTTTAGAAGTACTTGCTGAGATGATTTTCAAAAAAATGTTCTAATTTTGGTAGCTCTGAAGCAGGGATCTATTGCCCGTGACTGTTGTTTCACTTTCCTTCATAAGCTGCCTTTTGGTGCCTGTCTGGCCAGTCCGTGATCTGATTCTACAAAATTATTTGGTTTCAACCTAAAACTAGAACTTTTTTTTTTTTTTTCTGGGTGAGGATTGTTGGAAGGAGAAGTGGAATAGAAAGCTTGGAGAATATGACCACATATCCTACAGCTACTGCATCCTGAATAATCTATTCAGTTGTGCTATGAATTATTTTATGTTACCCAAAAATGGTTCTTGTGATTCCTCTTTCCAGTTTTTGACATGATTGTCTAATACAATTACCATGCAAGGCAAAGTGTTGGCAGCTTCAGGAAAGATGGATACATATATCTTTAATCCTACTAGAGGCAATGTACACATTTGTTTTAGTGTACCACACTTTCATTTTGTACCAACAGGAAAAGTCTTTGCCCACCTATTTCAAATGGGGGCAAATTTTATAAACCCAAAAAGCAAAGGCTCACCTGTACTGAGTCCAGAACAGAGAAACTGAAGAAAGACATAAAAACAAATATAGCAAAGCTACTATCACATTAATGAGAAAAAGAATATATACCAGGATATCTTCAGCATCAGTAAAAGACTTTGTAATTTTGCTTTGGCCTGCTTTGTCCTTCATATGATTATTTTTTCCATTTTGTTTTTATAGGTTCAGGCATGACTTTCTTTACCCTAAACCTCCTGTTGCAAAAACTCCATGTATAACTTTCTTTGCCCCTTGCAACTTACTACTGCTCAAAGGATTTCTAGTATTTTCTGCTACTAGGGAAGGGAATAATTTTCTAAGTAAAACTAAAGCTTCTTGGAAATCATGAAGAGCCTGCTATTACAAGAAATTTCACAAGCTAAATGATGATTTTCTTTTCAGTCTTGCTTCACTCTTCTTATGTGTCTGTACTTTAAGGAGCCCAGAAGGGGAGATGACTCTAGAGCATGCAGTCAACATATTGAAGAGTGAAAATACACAGTCACCAGCTAGGATACTTCCTGCAGTGACTTTCATACAGCATGAATGTTTCCAGAAAGCAGAAGCCAGAAGAAAAGTAAGTAATTATTTTTATGCCAGCTTCAATTAGGTAGAACAAATAATTTTCTATGTTGTATGGCACTGCATGCCAACATGAAAAAAAGATATTTCAGGAAACCTTGTAGGATACCAATGTGGAATATTTTCCTTTGGCTATGATGTTGATTTTTTCTTCAAATTCATTTAAATCAGTGGAATTACACTGACCTATGCCAGCAAAAGTTTGGTCTTTAGCATTTGGTAATAGGAAACATGGGCATGTAGGATAAGAAGGAAAATCCAGAACCCATTCAGACCATCTGTAATGACAGATGTTTCTGAGTAATTTCTTAAAAAGCCATTGATTAGGAACCCGTGGTCAAGTCAATCTTACTGCCCTGACCAATGAAGTGTAACGTCTCCCTTTTGTAATCTAAGTTAAGTAGTTTCTTTCCTATCTTTATGAATAAAGCAAAAAAGTCTCTATTTCTGTTTTTCTTACAATGTTTTTCATATATTTCAGCACTACTAAGTATATATTCACTTAATTTTCCCTTTTCTAGGATAAACAAAATTCTCAGTCTTATGCATAAGACTGCATGTAGTCTGCATGTCTTAATATAAAAATGGTTCAATTGGTCCCCTCTCATTTTTGACTGGCATGCTGACACCACTGGTACAGAAGTAATATCTAAGCTTCAGGGCTTGTTAGGACTGCACGTTAATACAAAGCATGGTTTAATGATAAACCTCTTATAATTTTCTCAAAAGGACATATCAGAAATACTTTCCTTTAAACTTAGGATACAATTATGGTACTCTGGCTGGACAGTTCTGTATATTGATACATGAGATGGTTTTTTATTTTATTTTAACCATTTTAAAAGTTTCTTAATTTACTTGGTTTCATAACTTACCCTGTATTAGTTAAATATAATCTCAGCCTTTTCTCCATATGCAGTCCAGTTAAGTGACAGTCCAGCATTACTCACTCCTTTGGTAGCTTTAACTTGTTTCACAGTAGATCAAAGCAGGTGAAAGAAAAATATGCTGCTTTGCAGAAAGCTCAGCAGTAGCATAATCAGCAGCCTTAACTTCAGTCTCAGGACAAAGGTTCTGAATTGCATGTTTGAAGGTGGTTTATTATTCAGACATCTCTCAGACAGCTTCCCTGAAAAACAGGTGGATGAGTAGAAGAGTTCACACTGGAGCAGTCAGCCTGGAGCCATCTTCTATTTTCCTGTCCATCCCACACATCCTAGCTAAGCTGCTCTATTTAGTGCCTATCATACTTCTTCATGTAGGCAGTCATGTTCCTATGAAGCCTTTCAACATGCATTCCTGTCTGTGTCTCCTAATGTTTTATTCCCTGTTACCTGATACTCTGTGGTTCTAGTGACTTTTTCTTATGTCCATGTGGTCTTACAGTGTTTTGGCCGATCATGTCTGCCAATGAGAATTTAGACCAATAGTTTTTGTAAATTTGCAGCATATGGAGTTCAAATAGCACCACTTTGTTTTACAAGAACCATAGATCACTTATAGTTAAAATTACCAACAGAAAACTTGCATAAATGTTTAAAGGAAAAAAAAGAAAAAGGAAAAAAAAAGGAATCAGTATCAAAGACGTCCATTTCTGTAGTTCCTTCTGAGTGATAGAATCTAGATGACTGTTGAAAGCAAGGGGAAGCAAGTCAGCAGTGTAGTAGCAAGAAACTCTACCTTTTATTCAACTGAATCAGAGGAAAGACAGGCAGGCAGTGTAATTTGACATGGCATGAAGGGCAAAAGGTTTTGTTGCATTTCATTTCTTCCTTTTCCCAGCACCTGTTAGCCAGATTAAATTCTTTTTATCATTAAACTCTGAACTGTTCTAAACAACCATATCACATTTCTAAGTCATTCATGTACTATTGATTCTATACAAGGATGAGTTTGTCCACAAAACCATATGGCATTTTGATATGCTGGAGGAAACCGTTCCTCAACTTAGATGAATATAAGTTATTTTCTATAGTAAAATAATTCCTAAAGAAACTAAGTCTTATTTATACCACATCATAGCTCACATGGGATTCATCATTTGCCACAACATGTAGAGTTTGGAAACTATTTATTTCCCCACAGCTGCTGTGAAATAAAAAGTCCTTTTAATTCTTAATTCATTTGGGGCCAAAACCTTGTTTTTTAAAGAATCAAACACTGAAGAGTACTGTCTTTGTTAGATGCGGGTGGTTCAGCAGTTAATTATTTTATAGTATATGACAGTCTATATTTTGAAGTATACATTTATTTGACTTTTCTCAGTATGCCACAGAGAAGTGCAGACTGAATTGTATTCTTTTTTAACACACATTCAAAACATGCACAAAAGGTAACAAAGAAAAATACTGCCTTTCCATCAGATCAGAGGCTAAGAAAAAAATAACAACTTGGCATCTCAGGAATATTTCACATCCACAAATCTCTAAACAGCTTATAAATGTTCCATAGATAAATCCCAAGCATCACCAGAGGTGCACTGTTACACTCCTGTCCATTTTACCAACATAGACACTAAAATACAGAGCAATTGAATGTCTCATCAAAGAGTACAAATCCGTGGCAGAGCTGTAAGAGATCTAGTTTAATTCCCTCACATTAATTCCTAAAATATGATGCCTCCCTTAGCTGTGGATTTTAACAGTGGCTCACATGAAAGCCCAAAAGTTACAGTCATGTCAAATTAAAGATCTGTGTTTCAATTTTTTCAAGTAGGAGTCCCTGCAGGTTTGGCTAGGGTTTGGGGATTTGTTCATTTTGGGTTTCTTTTGTTTGTTTTTGTAGTTTGTCATTTTCAATATCTAACGATGTTTTGTTTCCTTGCAGGTTTTCTCACTTGGTGGTATCCCCAAACTTTTACAGCTTCTGGACGTTCAGAATGAGGACATTCAGCGGGCAGCATGCGGTGCTCTGAGAAACTTGGTGTATGAAGACAATGACAACAAGCTGGAAGTGTCAGAGCAGAAAGGGATTCCACTCTTGCTCCGTGTACTCCGATACACCCAGGATGTAGAGACTAAAAAGCAAATAACAGGTGATGTTTTCTGTGTTTGAAAGCACGAAGTACGCAGGTAGTGCACAGGCTTTCTATGTGAGGTGTTTGCTTGTTTCCTTAGACCAGTGTTTAATTACTAATGACTTAAAAGGACACTGTTATCTATTTTGTTGTCCATTTTAAGCTCTTCCCCTTGTTTTTAAGACAGCAGTAAGAGGCTAGTAATTGATGCATTTCCTTCTTAAAGCTTCTTCATAAATTACCTGTGTGCATGTGTTGCAGGGAGCTCAAAGTCCTCACTATTCCAGAAAAGAAAGTGAAGGTCCAAATAGCAAATCCTTCAGAACCATTGAAATGAGCACTGATCTGGGCAGTCCCAGAGGTACCCCAGACTGTATGTAATGCCCAACACTTCCACAGCAGCTTAGCGCTCACTTTTTGGCACTATGGTGCCAGCAGAGTTGTGTTGCTGATACTCTTGTTGGAAGCTGTGTTGTATCTGTACTCGAGAACACTCAGATGGTGAGAATGGAAAGCAGGTGACCTACCCTCAACAAACCCTACAGTCACAATGTCTGCTTTGAGCCCTCTCACTCCTGGTGCTTTACATCCCACAGTCTACCTTTGCAGATCTGTGACAAGCAGAAAACACTTTTTTGGTTCCTTTCTATGTGCAAAGGAGAGAGCTTCTGTGATCATAAAGATTATATGGCATCATATAAGATCATATAAAATCATATCAGTGGTGCAACCTGTATTCTTGGTTAAATCCTTGCAGAGGTTACATTCTCGCCCTTTTTGCTCCAGTGTCCCTGAGGGAGAACAGTCAGAAAGAGTAATGGCCCATTCTGATTTTGAAGGAAGATGGCTTTGGATCACAAACCCTGTGTTCTGCCTCTTGTTGTACATCAGTCTAGTAGGTGGAAGGGTAGGAGGAAATGGTCACCATTCGTTTCAAAGAAACCTGTGATTACTACCCTGCTGCCTTTGCAGCAGGCAACAAAGGGGTGTGCCAGCCCCTTCCTCCCTGCACTTCTGTTTAGCCATAGTGCATCTCTAGGAAATCAACCACCCATGACCCTTATTTATTTTAGTTAGCATGCAGAGGAAGAGCAAGCTTATATTTCACAATCATCTGATGAAAACATAATGAGTAAATGAATGGGGCTTTATTTCAAGTGGTCTTTAAAGACATCAGATTAAAATAACAGTGCTTTAAAAGATATAGGTCTCAAGCAGCCTTGCCTTGAAGCAAAGACATGTTGAGACCTTCTGTAATTCTGCATTCTTTAAAGTATTTGAAATATTCTGCTTCCTAAGCTGGGGAACAAAGCTTTGTATTGTTGACTCTTTTGGCTCAGTTCAGCAGCCCTGTGACATTAAAATGTCTTAACGTTTTTCACATTCAGCAGATGCAGAATTGGGTCATTTGATAATTTATCGCATACTGCGTTCTCTCAGTGCATTTACACATAAGTGTAATAGTGGCCAAAAAGCTCTTGGTAGCAGTTCCCTCACTTCTGACAGAGTTTGGACTGTGACTATGCAGGTATAGGTATTGTAATTATAACTGTGCTCTCCTTCACCAGCCTGAAAACAGATGCAGAGGCACCTTCCTTCTGCAGTTACTGTGTCATTGAACTTGAATATTTGCTTCAGAAACATACAACACGCCAACAAAATATATGAACAATAATGAATCATATATTGTCATTTGCATTAAAATATTCTGATATATTTTTACACTATCAGCTGCAAGGGATGACTTTAAGAATAGAAGAAAAGCTTTGTATTTTGTTCAAGATCAAATGTGCAATCAGTAAGTAGTACTTAAGTCACTAGGTGAAAATGGTGCTGGGAAGGATGTTTGCCAGCACCTGAGGAATCCTTCCAGCAACCTAATAAGCTCTGAGGGTAGAAAACAGCCAGGTTGAATGCATTTCTCTTTAACCTTGCTTCCAGCCACTTTCTCAGCCCACAAAGGTAGGCAAGGTGCATGCTGCAAAGGAGAATTAGACAGTCAGTATGCATCTTACTAAGGTCAGTATTCCAGGTGATCTTGGCATGTTCAGTGATATCTGGGAACCCCCCAGAATTACTGCCGTGTGCAGAGGAGCAGTGTGCCATAAGGCCTTTCCAAGAACCATGCATATCTCTGTGTGCCTCTCCTCTAAGAGGGCTGGAGCACACTGAGTTGGGCTCCAATCTGTTTGCAGATGAGGGGTGTATTATTTCCCTCCCACGGGGCAGACATATTGCTTCAGTTTCCCTGGATAATTAATGGCTCACCTACAAGTTTTTGTTTCTTATTTTTTCTTTTTTTTCATTATCTTTGGCTTCCTACAGGACTCATGGGATATCTTTATAGCTCTGCACATAATTGCATTGTAGTGTTGTAACAATACACTTCTAGGAAAGGTTTAATGCAGAATCTTAGGAATTTCATCTCTTAAGCATGAGAAGGCCATCTGTCTTACAATATCATACTTATTGTTTGACTGCTTTGTAACTGTAAATTAGATATTTCCAGATGTATGATATAGTAATTATCTGAACATTTTCCCCTATAGGGATCAGTAAAATAATATTTGTACCTGATAGTACTACACTGAATTACTGTGAAAGTGAGACATCTGTTCAAGGTCAAAAGCGTGCGATATTCCCTAGGAAAAATGTTTAAGCCCAACAAGCTTTTTATGTTTCTACTGCTGTGTAGGAAGCATAATACCAAGTATTCTACCTTAGAAAAATACATGAAGGTAAGGATATTGTTGAAGGAAATTAAAACTCTGAGATACAGAAGTCTTCCACAGATAGTACTTCACTATCTGTTGGAAGTATGATTTAATAGTTTGCCTATATTAACATTGCTGGTATTAATTAACCAGCAACCTTAAAAATAAGTTTCTGAGGTCAAATGTGTTTTTCTCATGTGCACAACTGAGTCAGATGTGACAATATCAAGACATATATGATATATCATACCATATACAGTATATCTCTGGACATATTTTGAAGGCCTGTATTCTCTTCTGACCTGTTCTGCTGTCTCTTCCTCTCCTTTCTATCTCTTTCAGCATGTTGACAAGAACTAAAAAAGTCTGATGAATATCAGGAAAGTAAGGAAAAGGTCTCCAAAATCAAAAAAAAAAAAAAAAAAAAAAAAAAAAGACTGCCTGGTATTAATTCCACCACCACATAAGAACATGCAGCTGTTCTTCCCTTTGTACATGTTCCCCTGTGCACATCAGAAATGCAGGTGCAGGCCAACACTTAGGCTGAGGAATACAGTCTGAGGACCACCATGCACTGCCTTGTATTATTCTATGAGAGCAGTAGAAGCAATGATAAAGCCTGGAGATAAATGTAACTTACAGCCAGTGCTGTTTCTGCCACACAGTCTGTGCGTCCAGGAGAGCACACAGAAAGCACCAAACCAGTGCTTCCACTAAAATGTCTGTGTACTGTGTTTTGAAAGCTGCCCTGGACCAGTTTACCTAATCCCCACATTCAGAAAATAACTGTCAGATTTCTCTGTGCAATTTCTGGGTTTATGTGATCTGTTCTTAGCCCTCATCAGGATCACGTTAAGTGGATTTGCTCGCTTCATAACATGGAGACAGCTGAAGAAAAGGAACCATAGGTTCTCTTTTTTGTTTGACATAGAAACAAACTTCTTTCAAATCTTTTTAGGAAGGAATGGGGATACTCCTGAACCATAAGAGAGAATGTCACTTGGAAAAGGTGCAGGAGCCAAGACAGGAATGACATTTCCTTGTGTTTAGTGAGCACACTAAAGAACAGAAAATAAAATGGCTGTGGCATGAGAAAAAAAATTAAAAAGTAGCCTTTGAAGGTAAGCCAGAGGAGCCTCCAGGGAGTATCTAACCTCTTGATCTTGTTATCAGGCAGCATAAATCTAAGAAATGAAAGAAAGTTCTTCCTGCAGGGAAGATTACAGCACAAACATACTGTCATAAAAATAAATGTAAAATTATAAGGAGACCACACCCATTTTCACAAATAACCATCTAAGGGAAAAATATGGCACTATAAATACATTACAGTGAATAGCTGCAAGGAAAGACCCCACTCCTAAAGACATTTTTTAATGTGAACAAATTCATTCACACACACAATGTCACTGAGAGAATTCAGTGTGTCTTTGCTCGTGGGTAAAGTTCAGATTTATGTGGGAAAATTTATAACGTGGCAACATCCCAAACTCTGTCTCAGCGATTCTGACTTCTGTTCTAGGTGTCTGCCTTTAACTCAAAATGGACTTAGTTTCTTTGTGCTCATGCATTTGTGCTGTTCTGTCATAATATGTTTCCCTTGCCGGTGTTTCTGATTCCATATGAGCCTTACTTATCCTACAGGACAGCATACTTTACCTTTTTTGCCATAATTTGGAGATTATGGAGCTGGTCCCAGAAGAATAAACAGGCTTCTTTTGGTTGACTTTTGTTTTGATTTTGCTGTTGCTCCTTCTCTTTCCTCTTCTTTTGCCAGAAGATATATGAATAAACAGACGCCTATTTCAAACTTCTATGATGTTCAGTACAAGAAGATCCACTCTGCACATGCTTTCAGGCATGGAAACTCCACAGGGTGGTTCAGATCCTTTGGATTGTCAGTTTAGCACCCTTTTGACCAGTTTTTACAGTTAATTACAATAGCTCAGGATAAAGGAAGAACAATATTGTTCATTTAATCCACATATAACTGAATGCCAAAAAGCTTATCTCATTAGGGAAAGCAAGAAAAAAGCCTCCAGAATTTATGTGCAATCACACTTGGTATGATGTCCTGTGGTGACAAGTTCCTTCATTCATTAACTTCAAAGAGTTTCTGATTAGGTCTTTCAAACTGTGCGGAGATCTTTTTGCCACTCTGATTTAACTTTGGGTATTGCAGGTTTGTTGTGGAATTTGTCCTCCAATGACCAGCTGAAGCACCTGTTGATCAGAGAAGCCCTACAGACACTGACGGAAACTGTCCTCATTCCCTACTCTGGCTGGCCAGATAGAGATTATCCAAAGTCTAGTGTCTTACCTGACCCTGATATATTCTACAATGCCACGGGATGCCTGAGGTGAGCATTCAGTCTATAAGTACCCCAGACAATCATGATAAGCCCACACAGGTCTTACTTTCTTTGCATTTTGATATCTCTGATATCTCTGAGAGAAGAGTTTCCATACAGATCTTATGTTCAAATGCAACAAGTACTGTGTATCAGATCAGAATAATTACTGATCAATATAATAAAAATGATGTTTCTTTATAAAGGTCCTGTAGCTTCCTGTGATGGGTAATCCACAAGCTGTGATAGGTGCTCCAGAAGCATTACTGGAGATGATAGTCAAAAACCTTTTTCATGGTTGCATTGAAATCAAAGAGATCCTTCATTGATAAAACAGTTGTGGATATGGGGTGAAAAATTAGCCCCTGACTGATGATAATAATACCAACAAAGCTTTTTAGAATAGTGGTAGGAATAATATTATCAGATAGCATTGGAAAAGAGCTGACAGTAACTTGAAATAAACTGTAAACTCTGAAAGTCTGAAAGTCTTTTAGAGTTTTTTTAAGGCTTTGGCAGATATTTAGCATGGTGACTTTCAAAGTCTGTGTCTTCAAAGCTAGAGTTGTAAGATGCAATCACTAACACTTTCATAGGATAATCGAGTTCTTTGAATCATATAGGTGTTGCTTACAAGCCCCTTGTCCTTTTAGAAACAATTCCTGTTTCATTTTCCTTTCTAAACTATATAGAGCAAATAAGTGATTGTCCATTGGAACTGCATAGAAACATGCCTACATTTTTTTTTGTTTCCTCCTCTACAAACACAAAATACTTAAAAGTCTTGCACCTGGCTTGAATATATGTCTGTACTTCTGATTGGCAGAGCAAGTTTTTGAATGTGCCTGTTGAAAAGTAACAGAGCAAAACCAAGCAGGTCTATGTAGAGAAGAGGTCTATAACCGATAAATCAGTAAGGTTTTTTTTTTAAAGCACTATTTCTTAGTTATGCTGTAACGAAACACTTATAGACAGTAACAACTCTTTTTATCATCACATACATCCATTTAGAAAATTTGATCCTATGCAAACAAGTGACATACATATAAACAAATTCCCTGACTAGACATTGGCCTTCTATTAAGAGTAAAGAAAATTTGCTATATTTGCATATAGCTAGTTCAGGGCATTCATACATTCAAAAATTCATGAAAGGACATAGGTGGGAATAATCTATGAGCAATTATATGAGCACAGAGGAATGGCTTGAGTTTTAGAGTTCAAGAATGTAAAATAGAATCTCGAATGTTTTACCTAACAGATAACTGTTTGCTGATATGTCCCATAGGGGAATAGTTGCATCTGTACTTCATGAGTTCTTACAATGTAAAATAGCTCTGTATCTGACTCCTAAGCGGTTTCAGAGCACAAATGAAGTGATAGCTGAACAAAATACTCAACAATAAAGCAGAAAGTTTTTTTGCAGAAACACCCATCAGTCCTCTAACCCCTAATTAACTTCAGCTCTAAGTAATAATTATCTCTTATTTACTCTGATGGCTCAAAATAAATACATTTATATAATATATAAATATAATATATAAATAATATAATATAATAGAAACGTTAACTATGAACCATGATAAAATTTCCATAACTAACACTAGTGGTATTGTCTATGAAATGAGGAAGGTTGTCTTTACATATCAGTTCACCTGAGCCGCATCTGCATGGAAAATAGTATGACTCTCAGCTGCACCTCTTCATGGTGCCCTTAGGTGCCTTTTATTACCTGCTCTTGTCTTTGGACTCTGGAAGTCTCTTCTCAATGAGCCAGCATGTGGGGACAGAGAATTATTCACAGTTTTAGCAACTGTATTACTCGTTCAAAGCTTGTTGTAGTGACTTGACACAACTCAGTATGTGACAAGTCAGGAATAACAGAAGCTGGGTTGCCTTAGATACGGTCAAACAAATCCTAAATATTTGGATGATGCCATTTCTAGGCACTAATAGAGAAGGTAAAAATGACTAAGATTCAGTTAAAGAATTAAAAAGCTTACCAAGACAATGCTTCTTTTTCTTCCTTCTGTCCAACTGAACTTCCAAGCAGGCTAGTTCACAACACTGTAACAGATATGACTGAGACAGAAATTACTTGACACAACTCAGTACTTGACAAATCAGGAGTAACAGAAGCTGGGGTTTTTTAGAACAAAAATAGATTCTGAATATACCTACTCTTAAAAAATCAGTGACTGTGGCTCCTCTCAAGCTGCAGTAGCTCTACAACCTTAGTAAAAAGTCTCTCAAACTGACCTTACCTAAATGCTTGAAGATTACCTTTAAAATTTACTACCTTTGAAAATTACATATATTCTTAAAATGTCATGTCCATGTTATAGTCCTCCTCCCCTTAAAGAGCTTAAACACTATAAATTATAATTGAGAAGAGAACAAAAAGGACTTGAAAATTAATGGCTAAAGTTATTTCAGGATTGCCCACATATTTTCCAGTAAATAATAATTTTAATGAGATTTACTGTATTTGTACAGATCATCTATCCAAGATTTTTAAGATGAAACATTTTCCTTCTCTTCATTGGAAATAAACACACGTCCTATGTTAAGTCAGGAAAAGTATCCTTCCTCATGTATTTTTTTAAAAATCTTCTCCCTAAAGAAATGCTGAAAACTAAAGAGGCAGCACATCATAAAGATGTTTAAAGAGTATATGTAATTGCCAAAATATAAATCTGTAATTAGTCTTTCCTTTTGTAATGGTAACATGTTTGTTGTGCATGTTAATAAAGTTTATAGCCTGCAGCTTCTATTACAGGGCAAAAATAGTACTTTGAAGTGCAATACATTATGCATAGTACAGTACTTAGCTATGGAAGAATGCCAGAACTGCTTTTCAAAAATTTACATAAAACCACTGACTGACAGGGACACCCACAGTCCAAATCTAACCCTGTCATCTAACATGGGTGTATCTATGGTGCCCACAATTACCCCTAGGAAAGTAAAGCTCTCCTCTTTTTTGACAGAGTTGCAAGAGGGGAAGTGTATCCACATCCAGATGGTAGTATTGCAAATACTAATATTGGAATGAGTGAATGACAAGAATATTCACAATTCTGCTAATCAAATATTTCAAGAAATATTATGGATATGTGTGCAGTCAGAGTGATAAGGAAGTCCAGCTTCAGAAGGATTTGCTAATCCCTTTCTATTGCTCTAGATCTGTAATCAGTCTTAAAGTTTTGCTTTCACTGCATTTTGCAGGACCTGCAGATCAAAAATATATATATATTAAATCGAAGCTGCAAACACCAGCTAATTTTGCAGTTAGAATAAATAATGGTACTGTTTTCTGCCTGTTCACTGCTGAAACATTATAAAAAGCACTGTGCCCTGAGCAGGCAAAGTAAGCCAAATCAAAAGAGTACGTTGGTTGCCTGACAAGCAGGCAAATAGGTAAAACTGGCATAATGAACTCTGGAGAGCAGTACTGCAGACTTTCTGCAGGCAAGACAACTCTTGTTGGATTTTATAGGTATGGCCTAAAAGCACTACACCTCCTAGTTTTGTTTCCAGTTCCAGTAGGAATGGATCGGCTAAGTATCTTCCCAGTCTGAAAGGGTAAAATGCCAACAGCGTGCAGACTATATGGGTTTAAACTTTATTTATAAGCAGTGCATTCCTGGCATGACTCTTCTTTTGAAATAAAAGGAAGGCTTAGAACCTGGTTGTCTGTATTATACCTTGAATGCTGATAATGATCTCATTCCACTTTTAGCTTGAAATACCTGTTCCCAAAAGTTCTGCATTGCAAGGTGTCTCTGTTCTTCAATGACAGAATGTGATTGTTCTGCTGAGGGTAAATTATTCTGGGTGTTGCCTTGTAAGTTTTGGAAAGTTCAGCCCTTCTTTTCCTGGTCACACTTCCTCCTGAAGAGCTTTTCATTTAGAAGTGTTAAAGCTAAAGATCTAAACACAACTCCTGTGTTTCATTAGTGTGTCTTCCCTTTAAAATATTCTCTAACTGGAGCATCCTATGGTCCCATGTGTAACTCTGTGGAACATTTTAGGTAACTGCCTTCAGAAATGTCAGCTAAATCTCTGTGTGTTGTTTCCCAGCCAGCAGGATAGCAATCATATTGCCTTTATTTATTGTTTTTCACCCTCTGTCTGTCCCATCTCCCTTGTAATCGCTTTGTAAATTAGGTGCTGACCCAAAAAGCCCATGGAAGGCTGTAGTTTCAGCAAGTAGTTCCATTTGACACGTAAAGCCAAAACTCTCAGACTGTTGAAAAGTATAACGGCAGCTCAAGTTTGTAATGGAAGCTTCTAGATAAGGCTGTAAAACAAATGGGACTGATGAGAACGACTCTTTGAACCAAGGCCGTTTACATACTATTGCCATTCCTTTAGGTTTATTTCCATTCATTCTTATCTTTTCTTGTCTCCTCTTCAGCTTATCTACTCCCCCAATTCCTGAAAGGAATTTTGTTATTTCAAGCAAGCAGCTTGCAGGCTGGTGCCTGTAGTTACTAAGTAGATCCCTGGATTTCTTTCCCTCTCTGTTGTTTTAAACTGTGTAAGGCATGAAGGGAATAAATTTTCCTGAACTGCTTCAGGAAATAGTATCATAATTTAAGTTAAATTCAAATAATCACTTTTGGCAGAATGAGTCTTAGGAGCAAAAACCCTCCTCTTGTCAGTAGTGTGGATCCCTTGTAGCTCTTCAAAAACCTTCATGGCTTATCTAGTGGGTGACTCAATGTGGGCTTGCAGGAAGTATCCCTTTCATTTGATTCAATCTGCAATATAATTGAATGATGATTGAATGATATTATCATTCTGTTATTTATTTTACTCTGTAACAATTCTTTTTCCTTATATACACCTTGTATCTCTGGACCATAAAATATTTTCCAATAGGGGTTTAGCTGAGTCTTGATAAACCTGACAAGCAGATAGGCAAGGGGCTGCATCAGTTGCAGATGTAGTTACAGTGTGCATGTGTTCAAGAAAGAAGAAATAAGTATTGGGTGAGATAAGTGAGGCACAGAGATGAAGACAGTGCATCCACATTAGCATACACTATAGTTTGGCCAAGGTTAGGATCTTTGGATATGCCAGAATTCAAATTTTTACTGGCTACAGAATCTGAAAACTTACGTTCTGAGTCATTCCAAGGAGAGCATCCCTACAAGCAACAATCTCCCTCAAACTGAATTCTCCCAACTATTCAGTACCAATGCATGTTACAGATGTCTAGCAAGAGTTTTCTGTAAGAAAACTCCTGATCTTGGCTCCAGTTGATTCCCTTTTCCACTGATGTATTTCTGTCAGTGACCTTCTGATGAAATGCAAGCAAACACAGCAGTCTGGAAGGTTTTAGGAGGCCTGAAGTCTCACTGCAGCATTTCCAGGAGCCACAGTGGCTGTGGGGCAGCCCAGTTGTAGCAAGTGCCTAAATTGTGGGCACTTCAAGGCCTCAGGAACTCTGCTAGAAGAGAGTCCAGCTCCTGTGTGAGGCCAGGATCAAGTCAGTTTTGCAATTTTTTATGCATAATGTTGCTATTATTTCAAAATTATCCTTTTTTTTAAGAGAGAAGGAAATAAACTCTTCTGTGAGACTTCTGAGGAATATTTCTATTTCTTCTTTTCCAAATTAATAACTTTTTTCCTGGAATTTCCCTCAGCTTTAATTAGAAGGTAACGTTCCACTGCCAATCCATTGCCCCAAGGTTTTGCCTGAAATATTCTTCTCCATCTTCAAACAAGCTCTCACTCTCCCTTGAGAGTGAAGTGGTTATGGCTGTAATTGGGCGGGTAGGAGAATGGGAGCCCTTTCCTTCCCTGCCCGATTGTGGTAATGAGGACACAGAGGAAGATGGAGGATAACTGGAGAGGCCGCCTGTGTTCGCTCCCGGCCGCCTGCCTGCACCCCCACTCGCACACGCACGTTTCTGTCTCCGAGGGGATAGGTGGTCACACACACACACTCCTGTCTGAT